ATGGCATGATCAGGCCAATATCGTTAGCTTCATAGCATAAGTGCCTAAGTCATTTTTTGGTCAAATTGCATGTGATATGTAAAAATATGCATGTGATATTTAGAAAATTAGTTTTTTCTTGTTTTCCGAAAACACAAAAAAATGACTTAGGCACTTATGCTATGAAGCTAACGATATGCTTTGTTAAGCTGGTCTTTTTTTTCTTTTCTTAAATGTATTTGATGTATTGATTTGTGCCAAGTTTTGTCTGGCATTACCTGCAGGTGCAAACTGCATCTTGGGCTCCAACTCTGACAGGTCAGCACTCATTCTTTTGCTGTCAGAAGAAGACAGGCACTGTGTTCGTGCTGACAGACTCTCAACGCTGCCCCCTCTGGAAAGAGACACATTCCTTAATGTGTCTCCCTGAAAGACAAACGCGAAACTTTTACTGAACCACAGAAGACTGTATTACAAATGAGGATTAAGTGCTTATCAGTGCAACTTCATGGCTGACTCTGGGTTTTCAGTGTTCTGCAAACCTGGGATATACATTTTTTTACCAGTCAATATAACAGCTAATATAAAAAATTGTCCTTTAAGGACCTTTATGTTTGTTTCATTGTTCATTGACATATGCATTATGTTGAATCCAAACTATGTAAAAACTATGTTAAAAAAAACACCACAACACAGAAACCAGCAGAGTTGTCAGAAGACAAAAAAAAAAAGATAAATCATTACATGTACAGTAAAAACGTCCCTTTTTAATATGGTCTTACCTTTGGCTTGAAATGAGGTGCAAACTGAGGCGTAATCTTAATAGTGTCATTGCTCCCTTGAGAATCACTGTGCTCCATGTTCGCATCACTTCTGTAGCTTGTGCTGTTACCAGTGTAGTCTACATATGAACCTGTCATTTCAATAGACACAGGACAGGACAGAAGTTAAATTTATTTATCAGTTTTAATATCAGGACAGCAAAGCAGGCAGGCAGGAAAGGAGCGATTGAGAACAAGACTGCAGTAAATTTTTGGCACAAGGGCTATCTGCTCAAATTTATACTGGCACAGAGACAGTTTCAATATTTTTTTAAATATACACTTTCACCGGTATTGCATCTTTACATTAACTTTGTGGATTTTTGTTGTCTTTGAGTTTTCAAAACACTGAAAAAAAAATCAAATAATGAAAATAAAGAACTAACAGACAAATATAGGAATCTGAAATAGAATGAAAATATTACTACAATGCATTTTCCTCTGCTTAGTTATATGCTTAAACTTAGGTGGTTGTCTCATTTGAGTTGAGGCTGTATTTGAATCGTCTTGCCACGGCCATCTCTATGGAGGAGTTGGGTGGGGGCAGAGCATCTGTGGCTCCTGGGAGAGGTGGGAGGCTCATCGTGTACTTACAGTCAGGTCCATAAATATTGGGACATCGACACAATTCTAACATTTTTGGCTCTATACACCACCACAATGGTTTCCAAATGAAATGAACAAGATGTGCTTTAACTGCAGACTGTCAGATTTTATTAGAGGGTATTTACATCCAAATCAGGTGAATGGTGTAGGAATAACAACAGTTTGCATATGTGCCTCCCACTTGTTAAGGGACCAAAAGTAATGGGACAGAATAAGAACCACAAATCAAACTTTCACTTTTTAATTCTTGGTTGCAAATCCTTTGCAGTTAATCACAGCTGGAAGTCTGGAACACAGACATGACCAGACGCTGGGTTTCATCCCTGGTGATGCTCTGCCAGGCCTCTACTGCAACCGTCTTCAGTTACTGCTTGTTCTTGGGGCATTTTCCCCTCAGTCTTGTCTCCAGCAAGTGAAATGCATGCTCAATCTGATTCAGTTCAGGTGACTGACTTGGCCATTGCAAAACAGTCCACTTCTTTCCATTCAAAAACTCTTTGGTTGCTTTTGCAGTATGCTTTGGGTCAATGTCCATCTGCACTGTGAAGCGCCGTCCAATGAGTTCTGAAGCATTTGGCTGAATATGAGCAGATATTATTGCCCGAAACACTTCAGAATTCATCGTGCTGCTTTTCTCAGCAGTCACATCATCAATGAATACAAGAGAACCAGTTCCACTGGCAGCCATACATGCCCACGCCATGACAGTTCCACCAACATGCTTTACTGATGAGGTGGTATGCTTAGGATCATGAGCAGTTCCTTTCCTTCTCCATACTCTTCTCTTCCCATCACTCTGGTACAAGTTGATCTTGGTCTCACCTGTCCATAGGATGTTGTTCCAGAACTGTGAAGGTTTTTTTTAGATGTCGTTTGGCAAACTCTAATCTGGCCTTCCTGTTTTTGGGGCTCACCAATGGTTTACATCTTGTGGTGAACCCTCTGTATTCACACTGGTGGAGTCTTTTCTTGATTGCTGACTTTGACATACATACACCTACCTCCTGGAGTGTGTTTTTTATCTGGCCAACTGTTGAGAAGGGTGTTTTCTTCACCAGGGTAAGGATTCTTCGGTCATCCACCACAGTTGTTTTCTGTGGTCTTCTGGGTCTTTCGGTGTTGCTGAGCTCACCGGTGCATTCCTTCTTCATGAGAATGTTTCAAACAGTTGTTTTGACCACGCCTAATGTTTTTGCCATCTTTCTGATGGGTTTGTTTTGTTTTTTCAGCCTAATGATGGCTTGCTTCACTGATAGTGACAGCTCTTTGGATCTCATCTTGGCAGTTGACAGCAACAGATTCCAAATGCAAATAGCACACTTGAAATGAACTCTGGACCTTTTATCTGCTCATTGCAATTGGGATGAGGGGATAATCACACACCTGGCCATGGAACAGCCAAGAAGCCAATTGTCCCATTGCTTTTGGTCCCTTAACAAGTGGGAGGCACATATGCAAACTGTTTTAATTCCTACACCCGATTTTGATGTAATAATCCTCTAATAAAAGCTGACAGTCTGCAGTTAAAGCACATCTTGTTTGTTTCATTTGTTGGAATTGTGTCGATGTCCCAATATTTATGGACCTGACTGTATGCCACACTGATTCAGTGCTGGTCCTATAAATTCACAAAAATGCCACACTTCTGTGTACTCTGTTCAGTGTTACTGTCACTGCACCCTCAACTGCACTGAAGCATTTGTGATGACTGGCAATGAGTCTTTTACAGCGCTGTGGAGAAATCTTGGCCCACTCATCTTTGTAGAATTGTTGTAATTCAGCCTCACTGGAGAGTTTGAGCATGAACCGGCTTTTTAGGTCATACCACAGAATGGCAATCAAATTCAGTTCAAAGCTTTGACTAGGCCACTCCAAAGTCTTCATTTGGTTTTTCTTATATCATTCAGAGGTGGACTTGCTGGTGTGTTTCGGATCATTGTCCTGCTGCAGAACCCAAGTGAACTTCGGCTTGATGGCTGGACATTCTCCTTCAAGGATGATTTGGTAGACAACAGAATTCATGGTTCCATTTACTATAGCAAGTCAACAAAACAGCTCCACACCATCATACAACTACCACCATATTTTACTGTTGGTATGATGTTCCTTTTCTGAAATGCTGTGTTATAGTAATGCAAGATGCAAGGGGACACACACTTTTGTCCAAAAGTCTTGGGGATCATCAAGATGTTCTCCAGCAAAACTGAGAAGAGCCTTTATGTTCCTTTTGTCGTCTCCTTCTTCTGGTGGAGTCATGAATACCGGCCTTAACTGAGGCATACAGTTCTTCTGATGTCCTTCTGGGGTCTTTTGGGACCTCTTGGATGAGTCGTCACTGCACTTTTGGGGTAATTTTGGTCATGTGGCCACTCCTGGGAGGGTTCACCACTCTTACATGTTTTCCCCATTTGTGGATAATGGCTTTCACTGTGGCTTTCTGGAGTCCCAGAGCTTTTCTATTACTATTATTGTAATTTTATATTATTGTTGCGTTTACTTTTATCCTGTTGCTAAACTAATTTCCCTTTTGGGACAACAAAGAATTTGAGTTGAATTGAATTGAATTAGATATGACTTTATTTAGTTTGTCATTTGTTCCTGAATTTTCTTGGATCGCGGAATGATGTCTGGCTTTTGAGGATGTTTTGGTGTACTCCAGTACTTATGTACTTAGGAACATCTATCTTACTGCTTCATGTTAATGTTAATCCAGCTGCTAATGTTATGTGTACTGGCCTGAATTTTACTGCAATCATTTGCCCACAAACTTAAGCCAAGGCTGCTTTCTTTTGAAGGTATATTATTCTGAGAACTTCTAAAACACATGTGACCTTGAGCTCAGTACTGGGCAACTGTATAGATACCAGGATACACTGGAGTTGCTGTGCTGGTCAACAACATGCCGCTCATGGTACACCTTTGTAAACATCCATGGTATTTGTGCAGGCAGAGAAAACAGTTTGAATTAACAAAGGAAAAAAATCCTATGTGGTAGAAGAAGTAAGTTAACGACGCACATAATAGTTTTTCTGTAAAGAAAAGCGATTAGCAGCAGTAAGAGGAACTATAATTATTTAAACATAATCTAGAGCGTCATCTTCACACGACCTTAACATGAGATGTACCTGTACTAGTTGCAGAGTTGCTCTGTCCCTCATCTGAATACTGGTATGGATACTGAAGGGGTTCATCAGACCCTGGGAAGTACTGCAAAAAGAATGAAAACAACACATAATGTTGGGAGTTCTCAACTCAGGCTTACTATGAATGAAAAAAATCCTATTAGTATAATTAATTCAGGAGAGTAGGACTTGGTGATATTTTGAGACATAATATATGTATTATGTATATATATGTAATATATATAATAAATAATATATGGAAAGTTTAAGCTATATTTGGCTTAATGTTACAACCTCAAACACTAAGAGAACACTAAGAATGAATCTACCAGAGATCACTGACACAAAGCCATTTTTACCTTACAGAAAAGAGATAGGCTTGGTCAACTGCTGAGTGACCTTCGTTTACTATAGTTCTGACACTATATAGCACAGTATACAGTGGGGCAAAAAAGTATTTAGTCAGCCACCGATTGTGCAAGTTCCCCCAC